AAAGAACTTGGCACATGAAAATAGAGTATTTATTGCCTTTCGTTTCACAGAGCCTTATTTTGAATTACCTCCTGTAGTTTCCATCCAGTGCTGTTCTTCCTTTTCACTTCCACTAACCCGTGACAGCTAGGAAAAGGAAGACACTTACGCGGGGCCGTGGTGCTGGGAAGGGGTCTTCTTTCTCCTGAACCTCACTGGCCTCGCCCGTCCCTCACCACACCTGGTCATCAGAACCCATCACTATCACCTCTTGATTAAGACACTGGCTCAAAAATGCATCTGTTCTCTTTTGTCCAGGAAGGCAGGGTGCTGCGGCTTGTCTGATTTTGTCTGATTGTCTGACTTGTCTGATTTTGAAGAAATCTTCCATTCCTTCCTGGCTCAGCACATCCTTCTGAGGCCCAGCTGCTTTCCCCATCTGGCTTCTGTGTGTGGTCACCTTTTCTGCGAAGCCACCACCCAGCCGGCACCATGTTGAATCCAAGCTTTCCTGAGATGCTTATAGACTTTATAGCCATGCACAAAAGCCATGGTTTTCTTGGATTTCCCCTGACTTGTCTGGGTGTTCTTTAGCTCATCCCACTTCCTTCAAAACTGGGATGCTATCATCTGATCTTCATACTCTTCCAATTCCCTCTTCTGAATCACAGACGCTTCTCACTTCCTCTTCCTGTCTGTTGGAAGCTTCCCCTGGGTCTTAGACTGAGTCTTCTTCATCTATTCCTGGGAATCCTTTCTGTTTGAGTCCACCGCTTAAGGATGTCTCTGAGATTTAGAGAATCTTTTTTTTTTTTTCCCTTGGAAAGTCCCATTCTCCAGACTTGTCTTGCTCTAGATTTCAAGGACCGATTGTGCAGTGAGAAGGTGAATATCAATTTCCTTTAAGTACTTCTGCTGTAACAGTTCTAATTCTTCTTGGAGCAACATGGCTGCTTCCAACTGACTAGGACCAGGTGTCAAAATGAAAAACACAAAAATTAATATATCTCAATAAATATATTCTTTGGATGTGCTTTTGGAATATGAATTCTTCTGTCAAGAGGATGACCCTCTCCCTTCCCCTGTACAAGCCTGGTTCTGTGTGTATGTGTATGTGCTCAGTCATGTCTGACTCTTTGCAACACCATGGACTGTAGCCTGCCAGGCTCCTCTGTCCATGGAATTACTGGATGATAACAAATGCATACCTATAAAAATTATAGCATAGTGGGCTTGTAATGGCATCATCACACTTATTTTTAATCTAATGCCTGAAAGATTTAGTAGACTTTACACATAGTTGATTTTTACATTTTGTTATGTTGAAGTTGATGAAAAATCCTCTCTATTCCTTGTGTAAAACTAGTGTAATATTTGGCAAGAGATACAAGGAATCATCATTTTCCTCTCTCAAGATCCATACCCCTTTAGGTTTCCATTGCTACTACCCTATTTTCAGTAGATTCTAGTGTTAATACAGAAGATTTATACCTTGAAAGATATTTTAGCCCCTGTATACTTTTTGAGTCCAGTTCCACACTCCTAGATCCTCATTTTTAAGTGGAGAGATGATATTTGAAATTCATTTGAGCTTCTTACCGAGAGGATTAGACTCTCCTTTTATGTATGCCTGGCACAGGTTCCCTGGTGATAGTCGGGTAACAAATGCAAAACTAAGAATCAGGCGATAGTGAGCACCTGATGATATAGTTACATACTTATTTTCAATCTAATGTTCAAAATTCCGCTTTGTTTTTACACTAGAGGTAGACTTCAGAGAAAATATTTTGTGATTCACATGAAAAAACTCACTCAGTCTGCTCCACTTGACCAGGGGTCTGACATTAAATTGGTTTGTAGTTTGAAAGTGAAAAAAATATATTTTCCAAACAACAATTTACCACTAATTAATTAGTATTCTTATTACTAGTCTGTTTGAAGTTAAAAATAAACACTTCTGTCTTTCTTAATGAATTAGAGCACCTGAAACCTCAATACAGTTATATACAAGATGCATGAAAATAATCAGTACATTCTATTTTATCAGTCACTTTAAATTTATAATCAACATTTCAGGTTGTATGGTAGTGAATGTGGTAAAGTTATATAGGTTATATATTATATAGGTAATATACTTGACTGTGTGTATGTTTTAATGAAGCAAGGACTGACTCTCAAGACAATTACATTGAACCCCGCTAATTGTTCATGAAGACAAAATGCACTCAACTGTTTTCTAATAAAATTCAATAATGCAGTGTATCACACTGGTGAAGTAAAAGGTTTAATATTTATTATACAAAATATTATTGATTTTCACATGAAATTTAATGTACTTAACATTAAAGTGAAAAGAATGTAATCTAATTGTTAACAAAGTATTTCAGACAATTACTGTGAGTTTGGTTTCATTACTATAAATATAATTTAATACTGGACATATGCAAATATGCTCCTTTGGTAAATAAGTTCCTGTTGAAGTCATACATAGTTGTGTAAAAACATTCCCTTGATAGCTCCTTGTAAGATCAAAAAACATCCCTGCTGCTGCTGCTGCTAAGTCGCTTCAGTCGTGTCCGACTCTGTGCGACCCCATAGACGGCAGCCCACCAGGCTCCTCTGTCCCTGGGATTCTCCAGGCAAGAATACTGAAGTGGGTTGCTATTTCCTTCTCCAAACATTCCTAGCATCAGTGAAATACAGTGTGAGTATATATTCATTCTTCATTCATAGAACCGCACTGCTTCTGCTTCTTTTAATCTGTGTTGATATTAGTTCCTGTTTATTTAGATCAGGAATCAGTATGCACTCAATAAATATTACCAGTGTTTTTAGCTGCTACTTAAGTAGATGCTGTGCACAGACCTTGTATTGGGAAGGAGTTTTACATATATTATCTCTAGTTCTTACAGTAATCTTTGCAAGTTAAATATTGAGTTCCATTTTACAGTAGAGAAGACAGAGGTTCAGAGTAGTTCATTAAATTTGAAAAACAATTTCTTGCACTATTGCTCTTCAAACAAAGAGAAAAAAGGACATCCTGTCACTTTTTGTCCAAATTAAATTAGTTTTCCTGGCATACATATTAAATCTTTTGTAATAGTTTTTATTTGAGAAATGAAAAAACAAAATCACGCTTATTAATAGATATGCTGTATGTTTAAGCCTCATGAAGGTGAATTGGCTTTGGAATTCTGACTAGAAGTATAAAAAGCTTCTGGAATGGGGAGTCACTTTTCTGGGGAAACCAAAATATAAATAACCTCGATTTCCCAACATCATAGCCTCTGTTCAGGAATTCATCAAGTATCAAAAGAAGCTCAACTCCTCCCCTACTAAATTTATTACTAAAGATTTAAGTCAGATTTAATCACTGGAAATTATATATAGAGAAAGACAGATAGAGATTTGTGCAAGCAGTTAATTGACATGGTCTGTGTAGTTGTAAAAACGGGTCTTTTATTGATAGAGAAATAATTTTGGATTGAACAGTTCACTGATAGCTTCTAGGTCTTAAAAATTACTAGAATACAGTGCCTTTTGAAATATATACATATTAAGGTATATTTTAAAATCCTACTCGAAGTGAAATTAGGGAGTATAATATACATCCTTAAAAGTCAAAGTTTCTTGATTTGTAGCCTCAGGGTGGCTCCAAGTGCCTTGGCAATGAGTGCTTTTTAGTGGTCAGAATTTTGAGGATATATTCTCAATATTTCCATTATTATATTTACTAAGTGGTTTTGATAAATTGATGCCTTAGTGCCTGTCCTACTTCAAATATCTTGCTTTATGTTTTAATCCTTATGTACCAAAAGGTTAAGATAAATAACCATCTAATCTTTATTTAAAAGTAAGAAGACAGATATAGACACAAAGTATTTTTGTTGAAAATTACTTGAAGTTGTACCATGTTCTAAAGAGAAACAATTGTGATAAATATAAAATTATTCATAGAATTCATATTTAAATTTTTAAATTCTTCCTGAATTTATTGACGGTTTTAGCGGAACTGCATGATGAAATTGTTTCTTTTAAGTAAGATTTAAATCAGACCAATGTGGATGATATGGAGTAGAAGAAATGTTTTTATTTGTCAGACTTATTTTGTTTTTCACAAATTTTACACATTTCCTAATGGTGACAATGACTTAAAGATGTACTCTTCTTGCTGAAACATTATATAGTCATAAATAATTTATCAAAGGAAAGAATAATTTTAAGAATTTGGATCAATGTCCAAAATCTATTAGATTTTTTGTGAAATTTTTATAGTTTACAAGCCATTATTACAGTTATTCAAGTTCTTAAATGACATTTAAATTATTGAAATTATGCATAGTAAGAAATTCATATTATCTAAATTCCCACAAAATGTGAGAAAATATAGAAAAGGCGGAAAATCTGTAAATTATGCAACAAAATTTAAGCTGAGGGTAGAACTACTATATTCACATTAACTGAGCCATGGTATCTACAGTTAACTTGGTCAAATTTCGGAATTTCGGTTGAAGTATGTTGTTCATTTATTAAAGGATAATTATCACTAAGAATTTCTAATAATAATAATAATAATAATAATGACCTGGTTGATAAAAGGTAAACATGAAGTGAACCAAAACACGCATACTTGTTTATCTCGTAAATAGAGGTCTAAGCACTAGTTTCAAATAGTTCTTAGGATTGCCCAAATACATGTAGAAAAAACAAACAACAGTATTGCACTTAGTTTTAAAAGATTCGTCACTTCCCTAAAATGTAATGCTTTGTGATCATAGTATCTGTCTCCAATTCTTTGAAGCACAATGTTTTCACCTATCTAGCAGAGAATATTTCAACAAAGAGCTCTGCTTTTAAGTGAGATGTCTATAAAATTCCTTCGCACACTGTAAAACACTATACAGATATATTTTTTCTAAGAAATAGATAAGCACATGCTGAAAATCCTTAATAGTTACAACATATATTTTATGATGTAGGTAGTTAACATTACTAAATCAACCTTTGATGGCCAAACAAATATGATTTTTGATGACCAAACCAATAAACTCACTGATACAGCTCCTTATTTGTTGAAAAGCCATAAAAGTGGAAATCCTCACCCCGCCAGTGAGAATGCTGATCGGGCACAGAAGCAGGGAGAGCAGGCAGTGTGTGGAGTCCCGCTGGGGGCTGGGCCCCCCAGTCCTGGGTGGACCTCCAGGCTGCTAAGCTCAGGCTTGAGCTTGTGCACCTGCTCATTCTGCTTCACCACGACCTGTCACAGGCGATTGCTAAGAGGGCTTTTTCTTAAAAAAAAAAAAAAAGAATGTTGTCCAAAATGGTTGTTTGCACATCCCGTGAATTTTTCTTCCTTCCAAATGGAGACTCATGTTCATGACTACTATTTAAAAGGACTTCATTTAAAGCACATTTTATGAAAATGAAATAATTCCATGTTTAACGTTCATGTATACTTAATATCTTATCTACAAGTAACTCAGTGTTTTTTAATAACAAATATGTTTTCACAGTGAGGAAACTGGCCCAAGTAGAGGTGATCTGGGGACAGGAAGAAGTTATTGTTTGTTTCTAAATTATCTGAGTTGGCCATCTAAGACTCTTGTCTGGTGGTTCATTTTACCTTTGCTGTGGAGATACAAAATAAATTTCTTCCAAAAATGAAGAAAATACTCAATTCAGAGGCTATTCATATTTACATCATTTTTCATATTTTTAATAACTTTCTTGCATAGAATTAAGTTGCATATATCATGTGGAACTATAACTCTAACTTATTGCAATGTCAAGTTATCTATACCGAAGTAGGGCTTTCGTTGAAAGTATTCTGGGATGCAGAATGTCTCAACTCCACGTGCATGCCTGACTGCAAGCTCACATACACAGCAATCTAGAGAAAGATGTAGCTAAGTTCCTTTTACAAGAGAAAACAAGGGTCATCAGTGCAGGCTAAAATACAGTGCAGGCTAAAATACAGGCTAAAAAACTTGTGTTCTACGCTGTACTCTGACACTTCTTACTGCGCCAGTGTGAGTTACCTAACAGTTAGTTACCTGTCTGAACCTCATTTTCCCTATCTGAAAACTGAGGACATATGATGTACAGGTATCTCAAACGTTTTGGAACTTACAGTTCTGTTCACTGTATTGTAGACTCTTTAACTTTGCCTTTTCTTTACATTGAAATCTAGACAAAAGTAGTTCAATCTAACTTTTAACAGATTTTTAATTTATATCTTGGCTTTGTTTAACCTCATGCAATTTGAACTTGAGTGTTTCCATTTAATTTTTGAAAAAAATGAAAGGAAAACGTACTCTTTATTTCCTAAACATCTGTCAATAATCTGAAAATTATGGTACTTACAGAAATTTCCTCAGAGTGATTTTTACCCTCTCAGTTATAAAATTGGATACCTATAGCATATAACACTAATGAATCTTAAAATACTGACTTCTGATATTTTCAAACCTAATGTATGTTTCCTGCATTAAAACCTACTTTTCTGTACTTTATTGTCAGTAAATTCTAATTCTCTGAAATAGCGACTTGTGTCTGATACACAAAAACAATATTCCTTTCGTCTTTCCAGCTCCTCTCTACACATTCCCTTTAATAACACCTTGGTTCTGAAAAACAAATTATGTTTTCCATTATACTTTCTTGAAGTTGATTTTAATGATATAATTCAAAATGTTAATTTGCATTTTAATTCTTCCCAGTTATATTCATATAATCCTATTGTTGTAACTGCTTAAAATAATAAGCAAATAGCTTCAAACCATACCCCGAGGATAAATGGTTTAGATGGGAATACAGAAGTCATTTTATTAAATCCAAGTTAATTGTGAAATAATTTCAACTGAAGATTAACAGTGTGCATGATAAAGGTAAACATTATTTAAAAATCATTTCAAAATGTGTATTTCAAATTAATAGTGTCTTCTGTATTAATTTGAAAGTCATTATGTTTTAATTGTTCTCTGAATCAGTATATTTTTCTATATGGAATTTTTGAATGACATGAAAAGAACATTGTACCTCTAGAGATGTATAAGTTAATTCATCTTGTAATAAATAGAAATTTATCATTTAAAACATTACTGTTGAAATGCGTTATTAGTGCTGATATATTTTATTCACTTCTGCATATCAAATTCATTATTTTAACCACATTCCAAACATCACAGTCTAGTATCTAAATTGATCCTCTTGCCCAGATATATGTTGTACTTGAATTATCTTTTTAATTATATATGTAATATGTTTCTTCCCTTTTTTCTCTCATTATACTGTTTAAGGTGATTTAAAGCAAAAGTATGTTCAGAGAGTCATAGGATGTTAGAGTTACAGTGGCCTTTAAAAACTCTGGTTCATGAGTTCTGTATCTGTGGTTCAAGGAGTGGCTTTGAGGCAGCTTAAATCCCAACACAGTCTGTGTATAATTTTAGTGTTCATATATACATGTGTTTTCCATTGCTTTCATTAACTTTTTAACTCAGCAACAACAACAAAAATTTGTAAGAAAACAAATCAATTCTACCACCTCATTTTGCAAATAAAGAATCTGAAGCTCAAATGAGTGCACCAGTCATCCAAGTTCATAGAGGTTGTGAATGTAAGAGTTGGACTCAGGTACCAATTTCTAGGTTGACCACTGAATGTCACCAATCAGGTAGAACTCCCCACAGAGGTGGGTTTTCAGCTGATATAGAGGCTGGTAAATTGCAAGTTCCCTTTAATTTTTGTTCATATAGATTTGAGTTAGTGAATTTAACCTCCCATTTCAGTTAGCATCACAATATTATTATGATACAACTGTAAGATAATTATCATTTTCTATCCATATTTTATAGATTAATATGTGTAGCAATAAAATATGGATTTTTTGAAAAATTGAAATGAATTTCTCATATTTCTGCAGATAAATGAAGTTGTTTTGGAACACGTTAAACTTCTATCATTCTTTTTCTCAACCAAAAACAATGATAAAATGATAGAAGTAGGCATTTCTGCTCCACTGATGATTATCTTGGACCTATTCATCAATAAATGTGTGAAATCTTTTACTTTCTTGTTTTTCAGGCTAAAAGAGAGACAAAAGCAAAGATCAGAATAAAGTTTAATGAAGAGTTTATTAGTTCTAGAAATTTGTAACTTATCTACATCTCTCATCACTAATTTGCACAAAATTCAGTAGAGTGATTTCATATATAAAATGAATAAATGAATGATCTCTGTATGTATTTTTTGCTTTGAAATATTTAAAATCACAGTTTCGTAGACCTGGAAGAAGAATGAAACTGCATTATCTTCCATAAGTGACCAAGATTAAAAAAAAAAGAAGAAGGAAGAGGAAGAAGATGTAGGTTGTCAACTAAATGCTTGATCCAATGACCTTTTTTATTTTATTCCTATTTTAATGAATGAAGGTCTATTAATAAATTGACTTAAAATGATTAGGGGGGAATGAAATAGAAAACATTTCTTCAGACCATCTAAGGACCTGAAAAATGACAAGATGGAATGTTCCTCAATGTTCCCAAGAAATTAACCAATATACATCAAGGTTGTATCATGTGCCATTCAAGATCGTAAAGGGTTATCTAAGTAGAAGACAAAGTCCATGCACATTTAACTTACGATCTTATTAGAGCTGAGGAATACTGCACACATGAGAAAAACCCAAGGAAATTTATGCCATTTTATAACTAAATCTTAAATCATAGGTTTCAATTCTGGTGTTATAATTCAGGGAAGAGAGAGTGGTTAGTGTAGCCCAAAGGAACATAATCTAGAGCTGAGCCTGTTGGGCTTGGAAAAGCTGACAAAAAGGGAAATAGCAAGTCAAAGTGGTAGCATGAAATGCTTCATAGTTGCAAACTTTTGACAAAGTCCTTCCAGAACAAGGGCAATGAAAAAGCCAATGAACACAGAAGTGCTTGAGTATCTGAGAACTTCATATTATGAAAACAACAGTGAAAGAAAAGGCCTAAGACAAGTATCTTAAGTAAGAAAACTACCATGGTTTGACAGTGTCATTAAAAAGATGTTAAATAAATAAGAAAAACAGGAAAGATTATTGAAAGAGAAAACTTAGGACTTGAAAAAAGAATTAAACTGTACTATCACATGGAAAATGTCACAGTAAATAAATCTTGTCCCCACAGTCATCTGCAAGGGCCTTTCATTTTAGGAATTATTTAATAGCTAATTCTTCCTCAAAGCTCTGTTGCTGCTATTATGACTTATTTTTATGTTTCTTTTCCAAATAAAAATTTCAACATCTGAGAAACACAAACCCAACTATGTCAACAGAGCAGCCACTCACTTCACAAGCTACTCAGAGAGAGACAGAAAAAGAGCCTGAATACGTGCTGGAGGTTGGAGGGAGGGTGGGTGAGTTGGTCCCACAGCAGACTGTGGTCCCTTATGGCGTCAGAGTCCTTTCATTGCCAGGAGAGGCAATTGAAAGAAAAGGTAACAAATCAGCTTCTCAATGACATTAACAAAGGTCTCAGCTTCCTATGTGCAGTACTGCTAACACTCCTCTTGTTCTAGCTGTGAAGGTCAATGACCATTCCCATGAATCTTTGTGTGTTTATATCAGAAGGACAATGTGAACTTTGGCAAGGGAAGTGGCTCTGGGTTAGCTGGGCTTCTTAGGTAGTTACTGTAAATACAATTGAAAGCTAGCTAATTTTACACTATTGCTAAAGAATGAACACGTTTATTAATGGCATCCAAAGACTCAGAAGTGATCCCAGAGAGTGCTGTGAAAGCAGAGCTTTGTCTTTTGCACCCACACTGCTACTGTGTCTCTGCCATTTCCCTTACGGCACCTTCCACGTGTCTGCAGGGGCTTCGGAAACTCAGTCAACCCCCAGGCACACGAGCCGCCCCCAGCCCAGGTATTTGCTGTATATACCTGTCCACACTCACTCCCTGCAAATCCACTCAGAGAACTGCTTCATAGGAAGCAAATGATCAATTAATAGTCTAAGAAGTAAATAAATTAAAAAATATATACCTTCTTATCACATCTATTTCATAAAGGAAAACATGTCCTATCCATAGGAAATAGTGTGATTTCTGTACTAGGCATAGGCCTCTTGGGGAGAGGTTTCCTGGATAGTGAGGTCTTGGAATTTAGTTTAATAAAAAGGTATTTTTGAAAGGATTACATTTTTTGCTGATGAGGGCTCCTATGGCTAGAAATAGTCCAGAGTAATGAAGGTCTAACATCTCTCCAGTTACTGCTATGAGAGAAGATGCAAATACTTTCCAATGAGATTAAAACTGTTAACACAAGTGGGCCCTGATAACACTTCCACATAAATGTGTATTTATTTCTTAGGGTCTGTTGGAGATCTTGAGAAGTAAATAAGACAATAAATGTGTTAGAGTCCACAATTCATGTTTA